CTATTCAGAGTTTTGTTGACACCGAAGTGACCTCCTGACGGCCTACCGTGCAGTTCGCTCAGAACGTCCTTCACCCTGCTCCGAGGAATAATTACCTGGGCTACTTGACGTCTTCCGGTGACGGATTCCCAGTCACGCTCTAGTACGCCGTTTCTCACAGCGAGCGATTTCCACTGGGCCCAGTAGCTTTTGTACGTGGGACTCCGATCCGCGATGTCCTGCCATTCCGGTCGTTGGCCGTTCTCTACTTCCTGTAGAATGGGTCCTATGTCCGGGTCTTTTAGCTGTTCCTCTCTTAGGGTAACAGGGTCCCAGCCGGCTGCCGGTAGGGTTCCAATAACGCGTATTTGTTTTACCTCTGCCCGCGTCTCAACTTTGTGGCAGTGCGCACATTGCTCTTGGCAGGGTCGTCTAGAAAGGGCGTCGGCGTTGTTATGTTTTCGGCCCTGACGATGCTCCGAAGTGAAGTTGTACTCCTGTAGACGCTGTATCCAGCGCGCAGTTTGTCCCTCTAAGTTCTTGAAACTCATAAGCCAGGTAAGCGCAGAGTGGTCCGTTCGCAGATGGAACTGTTGTCCGTAGAGGTATTTGTGGAAATGTTCCAGTGTCCTCACTATGGCAAGTAGTTCTCGACGGGTGACACAGTAGTTTCTCTCTGCTTTGTTTAGCGTCTTGCTGAAGTAAGCTATGACACGCTCTTTTCCGTCCTGGATTTGAGAGAGAACTCCTCCAATTCCGACATTACTTGCATCTGTGTCCACAATGAATTTCTCTCCTGGCTGTGGGTAGGCAAGAATAGGGGCAGCACATAGGGCACCCTTTAGCGTTTGAAAAGCGGCCTCCACTTCTGGAGTCCACTGGAAGGTTCGTTTCTCTTCCGTTAGTTTCGTTAGTGGCTTCGCAATGTTGGAAAACCCTGAAATAAATCGCCTGTAATACGCGCATAGTCCCAGAAAGCTTCTAACTTCATGTTTATCCTTCGGGGTCGGCCATTCTCGCACGGCTTTCAACTTCTCTGGGTCGGTGGATACCCCTTCTGGTGATACAATATGCCCGAGGTACCGGACCTCTTCCTGCAGGAGTTTACACTTTTCCGGGTTAAGTTTTAGACGGGCTTCCCTGAACCTCTCGAACACTTTCCGTAGGTTGAGCATGTGTTCTTGGAATGTGCGGCCTATTACGATCACGTCATCCAAATACACAAGGCATGAATCGTACGTGAGCCCTCGTAGGACTGTCTCCATTAGCCGTTCGAAGGTTGCCGGGGCATTGCAGAGGCCAAAGGGCATGACTGTGAACTGCCATAGCCCTTGTCCTGTCGAAAACGCTGTTTTCTCTTTGTCGTCTGGGTGTACGTCGACTTGCCAATAGCCACTCTTTAAATCGAGAGTTGAAAACCATTTGGCTCCGGCCAGCGTGTCCAGGGTGTCGTCAATGCGGGGTAGCGGAAAGCAATCCTTCTTGGTGACGTCGTTCAGCTTTCTGTAGTCCACACAGAAACGGAGCTCCCCATTCTTTTTCCTGACCAAAACGACCGGGGACGACCAAGGGCTGTCCGATTCTTCTATAACACCCTGTCCTCGCATGTTGTCAAGCATTTCCTTCACTTCTGCTTGTTTTGCCAGGGGTACTCTCCTCGGTGGCTGTCGAATTGGTCGGGCTTCTCCCGTGTCTATGCGGTGATAAACTCTGTTTGTTCTTCCATAATCTTCGTTGTCTTGTGCGAAGATATCCGCGTACTCGGACACGAGATCCTCTAACTCTTGAAATTCTCCGGGGCTTAGGTGTGGCTTGGCCGCTGTGGTCACGTCCGCTAATTTCGGTGTTAGACCTGGTGCTGGTGGCCGTCCCACCTCGGGCAAAGCCACGAGTGTTACTGGCTCACAGTGCGCCAGAGGAGATCCTCTCCTGAGCTTTTGGTCCTTTTGGGTAACATTCATGACCCTCACTGGTACTTCTTGACAGTCCTGAACTAGGGTCCTGGCCACGTAAATTCCTTCAGGAGGGTGGGCCTGGGGGCTTGGTTCTACTAAACCGTTCTCTACTCCCAGACGACTCTTCATTTTAGCCATCACTATTCCCTCGCTCCGTGCGGGTATCACATGGTCCTTTGCCACTACTAAGTTAGACGGACGGGGTCCTGCCCCAGGACTCCATAACCATACCTCTTCTTCCGCCAGACGCAGAGTTTGGCGCCCTATATCCACTGAAGCATCGTAGGCGCGCAGTATGTCCAGTCCCAGGATGAGCTCATCGGTGATATTCTCGACGAAAACCCACATTGTTATCGGTTGGCGCCCCAGGGTAAGGGTCAACAGAACTTCTTTCAGGATGGGAAGCGATCCTCCAGACACGGTCTGCAGCGTGAAATCTGGATTTGGATGTCTTTCAGGCCATCCGGCGGCGACATCCGGTCTTACCACCGTGACGTATGCTCCAGTATCCACTGTCACCTGGCACGGCTTATCACCAACCCATCCCTGGGTGACCAGACTGGTGTTGGCTTTCTCCGTCATGTCGGTGAGTGCGTAGTGTGGGGGCCTTAACGCATATGCCGTCGTTCGCCCATCTCCGCCGGCCGTTGCTCGTTTCCCGACGGTTGGTCCTTTCTCCAGCTTGTTTCCCTGTTGTTTCTGGGTCGCCATTCTGATTTCACCGGCGATTCCCGTTTGTTTCTTGGAGGTCCTTCCCTTTGTTCCTGATGCTGTCTATTGTCATCTCCACGTTGGGTGGGGAACGATCGGAACTTTGTGTTATCTCCGTGAGGTCTGGCTGCTACCAGTACCGCCTGCAGCTCTAGCGCTTGTCGGAGGGCCTCGTTTACCGTCTTTTCCCCTCCCAGCAGCAGCGGGAACTTTGTATCGGCATCTCGTATTCCGTATGCGAAGGCTTTTCCTGCCTACCTTCCTATGTGGTCAGCAGGTAGATTGGGGTAGGCACGAATACGGACAAGAAAAGTTGTATACGCACGACCATGATTAAAAATTTGAACATAAATTTAAAAATTATGTATGATAAATATTTTAAAAAGGAAATATGCAGTATAAATAGAGATCTTCGAAAATATGATGCTTATTCATAAAAGAGGCAAAATATGCATTTATAGACACCATCAAACCACGTCCAAAATTTAAGAAATGAAGTCATTCATACGTATATCCAAACGAGCATACTCTCTGGTTGCAAGGAAGAAATATGCATTTGCATTAAAATCCGGTCCCTAGTCGTAACCTATTGTACTGAAATCACAACCTCAGATGTGGGAATTCCAAGTACTGGTAAACAGCTACTCGCCTTCTCGAAGCGGGCTAAAGCTGACGAAATGTTTAAGTGGGAAAATGACTATTTATTTTCCTAAATATGTCCTATCACTCCTATGAGTTTTAGCGCCACTTTTTCTGAAATGTTCAGTGTCCTTCAGTTCAGTATTCGGAGTTCTTGGAAGAAGATACTTTTTGCGCAAGTACAATTATTGTAGTAGTTCCCTAATTTTGAGTTAAGTTACAGACTCCAGCTACTCGACAACTAGGCATTACATTTCATAATGTAGCGAGACAGAGGCGTGAAAATGATAAAGAAAAAGAAGAAGGGGCGCGAAGGATAGAGACAAGAGAGCAGAAATGTTCCGCGAGAGACTGAATCTACGCATTCTGCAATTCTGTCTTTGTTTATCTCATTTCATCTCGAAATCTCGAACAGAATAAATATATTTTTCATGTCCGGTTTAATCTATATTCCTCCTAAACCAGCGCAATATTTCGGTTTTATCATCCGATACTAAACTACTTTTGTGACTGCTGTAGTGCTTAAGAATCGCATGTTCATGAAAGCCAGTGTATTAAATATTTATTATTAATCAAATTTTCTGACCACCATAATGTTTGAATGTTTCATTGTAGTCTGAACTTTGTGTTGACGTTTGAAGTGTAGTACTGTTCGTAATTAACGTGTACTCAACCTGTAAACAATAACAGTATTGTTACGTGTAGAAGGTTGGCGTGACTAATAATAATGGATTCTGGATTTGATGATTGAGTTTATTGGTACTTCTTTAAAATTACAGTTAATTGTGACAGCTCACCCATTGAACTCCTTCTGAACGACGTCTGCCTTACGAATGTATGACTGCTCTCAATGCTCTCACTGCTCTGAATCTCTCGAATTCACGAATGCACTTCTTTTATAACCGCTAGGCGACCGAAATAGAAGTTACTATGCCGAAGAGTTCCACTGCTCTCTTCTGCTGTCACGTTAATGCTTTGTTAACAATTGTTTGCCTATCTGTTGCCTAGCAAAAATGACTTCACTTCTGCTATTATTTCGGCCTTTAGGCAGTGTTTACCTAGCCGAAGCCTAGCAAGTGTTCATATTGCGTCACATTATCAAATGTTGACAACATCTTAAATTGTAACGCACAGAAGACACCATTATAGGTCACCAGTATTGTACACTGACATTTATGTCAGGCTTCATGAGCTTAATTGTCGGACCAAGCTAATGAGTGTGTGTGCGTGTGAATGCAGACGTGTGTGATGTGGGGGTGATGCTTGTTCTTCTGACATTCGCTGGCTTCTAACAAATGATGTAAAGAATTATATTATTATTCAGTAAACCCTAAGGGGTTACTGACTTATTCAAACAAATTCCGAAGTAAGTGTCGCAAGGGAGAATGCATGACAAACGAGCAGCTACAGAACATTATCAGGAGAGGCTGGAACCAGAAGTTTTGGAGGAGCTGACCGCCTGTGTTCGGCTGGTGTAAGCTTGTGACAGTCATAATCCTAGATCGTGTTTGTGAATGTGATGGTGCACTGAGAAGTAATTCATTGCGTCGAACAGGTGCAAAGGAGAACTGGCGATGGCATTTGCTGACGAGCTGCTGTTGCTGGTATCGGCTCTGCTTCTGGCCATTCTCCTGTTCGCCTGGCTGAAGAAAAATTCCCAGCTGTTACCAGACATAAAGAACAAAGCAGTACTAATCACAGGTAGGCAAGTACACTTCTGTAAGTTTTAGCTAACTCGGTACGGCTATTAATATGATCAGTTTAGGGGTTGAGGAACGGTGTAACAGTATGACTTTAAATTAGGGGCACACTGTATTAAGACACCGTTCTACAGGGACAACCTCTACAATGTGACATTCCATAAGACAATACTGCGTTTGAATTAGGGCTATTTCCCAAAACTAATCATTCCATTGACACAGAATCACAGCCACTTCTCTCCACGAAATGAGTTTTTAAAACTGGAATTTCGGCCACAAATGCTTTAGTTTCCAAGAATGTCCTTGTCTTTTCCATTCAGTAGAAACATAGTGTGACATGTTGACCCCTACCTCCCCAGCGGTACGTGGCGGTAACGTAACGCTCGCGTTACTACGGTAATAGGCGAGT